AATAGTAGAAGAGGGAACAAGGTTGTAAAATGTCTTTTTTGCTGCTCTACCTATTCCAGTATTTATTGGCTTGTGTGACCAAAAGGTATTTAAGACGATCTCCACTACTTAGAGGAGCAGTCTGAACGAACGATAAATCAAGGAAAAGTTTAGTGTAAAAGCTAATGGGGTGTCACCGATCATGCTAAGTGCTATTATTAGGATCTGTTAGAAAAGAAAATTATTAGAGCAAAAATTTCAGTCTCTCATGATTCTCAAAAAAGACAATGTTATCAAGTCTTGTTTCAAACCTGTTTTTTTGATGCTATCGATTTCTCAAATGGTTCCGGTGAACTGTAATGAAAATTTTTTTGCAGACCAACTTGTTGGAGAAAAAAAAAATTGAAGAGAAAAAATTGTTACTTCCTTTCTCTGAAAGTGTATCCCGGTTCACCACCGTTGTCGTTACTTCACACTGCATGAAAAAGTTTTTTCCGAGTTTTCCTAGTAGGTTTAATTTAGACAGGAAAGGACTAGACACGGAATGAACGTGCATGGATGGATTTTTGTAGTATGTGGTTGATTTGCATAAAAAAAAAAATCTCACAATATTTAGCAGATTAAAAATTTTATTTTTGAAAACATTTAATCAATCAATCAATCAATAAATAAATAAATAAATTAATTAATTAATTAATGAACAACAAATTGTTAGAAAAAAAAAGCATTTATTTTTATATTTTAGAAAATTAGTTAATTATAATTACTGATAAAAAATTCACATGATCGACAAAGATAATTTTAACAATAATCTTTGATCTTTTAAATCAAAAAAAAATTTTTGATCATATAATTAACATTGTAAACAATTCATTTATATTGACTTTACGAGTATAAAAATCAATGATTTAATCCATGAATGAATATCCACGGATGTATCATAATCAAATCTGTTAAATAAAATGAATTTGTTTTTAGGAGATTAAATATTATTTTAATCATCAAACACCATTTTTTGATTCGAATAATGTATCCGCTTTGAAAGATTCATTTTCTCCACTTTTCAATTGAAACAATGGGATCTATTAAGGCTTAGAAGTGTGTAAGACTTTGACTCTAAAATTTTCAGACATAACAAGTAATAAGAATGGTCTTTATTATTACGCTTTTGAAGTCTTTAGTCACTATTTAAAAAAAAATTCCCACCGACCGAAAGTTTCCGCCAGTCGGAAAGCAAATGAATCAGCAATTGTTTTCATGATCGCTATTACCATGTTCATCGTCATCTCAAGCATTGGTAATCCCCAGATTTTTCCCCGATGCACCTTCCAATTTCGGAAAATAATTAAAAAATTATTTTCGTTGACGAAATTTGGAAACAATGGAATACGAATTTCATATTCTTGTCATTTGAACCAAAAAAAAACTTGACAAGTCAATAATATCCTCCGATAGTTTTTTTTAAGCTTTAATTTTGACTTGCGAAACACGTGTTAAATGGCATCAGGATTCAAATTGAGACATCAACATTGAAAGGAAAATCATTTCCAGATGGTTTTGCGTGCGAAATATTGACTTGAAAACCGAATTTTTTTTTTCGCGAGATTTTTTAAAACAATGATCGGTCGTGGTGGTTCACATGTCTCATTTGTGCGATAAACGTTGAAGAAAGGAGAAAATTATCCCTGTTAAAATTCTTGTTTTTTCAACTCTTTTTGAATTTTGTGAAATCATGTTGGAAGATGCTAACAGTTCTTTGCGTGATGCATGGAAAAAACTACGAATGGTGAGAGTTACCGTTTAGAGATGATGATTTTCTATGGAACACAAAATTTTATTAACATCTATTATCGGTGCTGGAACACGACGCCGGTATGTACTCCCATACAGATTACCAATCGCAAAATTGATAACGATTTTGGGCGTAAAAAGGATATTTCCTTTTCCTCTCGGTGACCTGTACAATGACGAGCATCAACCCGTGAAAGATTTTAGATTTACCTAGATGGTATCAGATATCGTTTAACAATGAATATTTGTAACTGATCAAAAAGCACTTTTTCCAAGAACGGTGAACAATCGTTATTTCAACCGCATATTGTTGTATCGAATCCCCTTTTTAAATCAGTTTTGATTATCCCAAAAACCGCAGTTTCTTATTTGGCCTTTGTGTCATTTTTGATGACGGTCCCGAAGATGACTGTGATCCCAATATTACCGGTATCTAGGACAATCATAAAATCTTTCATGATTGATGAGCCAAGAAAATAAGGTGAGACAATTGAGGCGTAGTTGCTGGGTTTGAGAACTGCGAGACAAGGTCATGCGGTTCTTTTTTAGATTAAACGTCACCGCATTAGTTATCAACATTTAACTTTAACCATCAACAGCGATCCCAAGTTGAGAGTGAGTGAGTGAGTGAGAGAGAGAGAGAGAGAGAGAGAGAGAGAGAGAGAGAGAGAGAGAGAGAGAGAGAGAGAGAGAGAGAGAGAGAGAGAGAGGGAGAGAGATAGAGAGAGAGAGGAATAATGCAAGTCAATGAGGAAAAAGTTAAACATGTGAGCGATACGAATGTGACAATGTTGAAGGTTACTGCAGACAATGAAACACTAACTCCAAAATAATTTTTTGCTTGCTTTATTTTGGAAAATTTTTTTTTGCTTCCCAAGAATTTGCAAAAATTAAAGCATTAGATTTGATCATTTCATTCTTTATAATTCTATTACGACTCTTTTTCATATATTATAAATAATTATCAAAAAAAGAATCTTTTTTATCATATTTTAATAATAGTAAAAAATCACTGATAAAAATCATAAAATTAATATTTTTTGTACAAATAATTGAATTTCTAAATATTATTTATATGATAAAAATTGCAATTTGTATTTTTTTAAGATCTAAATATTGACCAAATAAAAAAAAGAGATTTTAATGATATTAAAAATTATTTAATGTTTTATTATTATTCAAATTGGTTTTTTTAAGATTTATAATTTTAAAAATTTTCATGTTCGATTAAATTTAAGATTTAAAATTGCATGATTAGCATTACTAAGCTGACCAATTAAAACCATTTAGTTGAAAAATTTTATAAACACCCACCACCGAATTTATATGTCATTAAAGTTAATCATTGATTTCCCAACTTTTACAAACTTATAATCCAACATCATGCCATATCCTTTGAGCAACAGCTTCATCAACTCGCCACAGCCTTTGTTGCCCTGGACACTTGATCGGCTCATTTAACGCTCTTACTTCACCAATAATCCAACAATACTGTTGTTTCCCACCATAAGCATCCTCGGGCGCTTTCCATATCTCCTCATCGGAAACTTCTTCAGCCTTTAAACAAGCCACAAATTTTGCCACCCCTAAAATTTTTCCACAATTCTCGCGAAGCGTGACGGTTGGTGGGAGGTCCGACCAGTATTGAAGACGAATTGTTTGGCAAGTAGGTTCAGCTGGGTTTAAAAGACGAGGTGAGGCGGCTGCATGGATTGCTAGCCATAAACCGTAACCGTTATCGTTATCGTTGTAGTTAGAGATGGTTGGAATGGAAAGTGGGTAAGTACGGTTTTCAATACGCTTTGTACCGTGAATTATGCATGTTCCATAGGGTTCCAAGACTGTTAAAGCTTTTAGCGATGTAAGACGTGGGGAAGGCATTAAAATGAATTGTGAAATTTTGAAATGAAGACGATTGGTCAATATAAAATAATGATCCGATCTTAATCGGGAAAGGTATCTCTCGATACTCTGTCGATATATTTTTAACTTGGTATGTTATATGCATAATCATAATAATAATAATAATAATAATAATAATAATAGCTAAGTTAACTTTCCTCAATCATCAAGGTTAAAGGAAATGACGGTGCACTATTTTCAGAATCTCGTTATAGATACCAAAATGCAATATTTTTATTTAATTTAATTGAAACATTGTCTACTCAAATTATTACACCTTCAAAAAAATGCTAGAGTTAGAAACCTCGGAACTTTTTGACTCAAGGTTAGATGATTTTGTTATAAAATGGACCTTAACATGGGAAAGTGCCATTTGATTTTTAGTAACACGACATTCTTATTATTAATTACCACCATATTCGTTCATTCTCTCAACAAGTTTTTTAAAGTTTGTAAATCTCTCGGTGTTTCCATTCTTGTCGTTCATTCACTTCTTATTTTGATGGATTCTATACATAGTTTAATTTAAACAATTTTAATTGGTTTAGGCATGTAGGAAATTCAGCATGTTTCAACAGGGAATTATTTTCCCTGGCTTTGAAACCATATACGTGGATACTGTTTTAAGACCTTGATTAAATGCGATATTCCCCATTCATTTATAAAGTTCAAAATTTTTACCTTTGTCAGATATCTCTGAAATTGATGGGTTTTTTTATTGAATGCACATTAATAAATTATAGGCTATTGTCATGAATAATGCAAATTCTCAAAAATTCTTATGTTTTTTGCTTTGGTTTTTGTTAGGTACTAAATATTTATTAAAACAAATCCAAATTCAACCTTAAAAATTTTATCGTACAATGTAAAATCTTATTTCAAAGAAAATTTATCATAATCAAAATTCTACACGAATAATATTTACAATGGTTTCTGTACTGGGTTTTTTTTTTAACATAAAAACTTTACTTTCCATTTATTTTTTCTACATCTGAAAATTTTGACAGCCTTAAATGAACGAAATTCAATTTTAACAGGCGTCAGAATCCTATGGGAATAGTAGCCATGTGAAAGAGAAGATCACCGAATATTTGGTTAGGGATTCGCTAATTTTTTGATTTTTTGTGATGGTACCATGTGACGTAATGCATTTTATGGTCAGTTGGAAGCCATTGGAAATTTGTTAAAAAAAAAATCATTTAATCAGAAACCTATTTCTTTGGTCTTTTAAATACTTGGGAGGTATTGAGAGAAATTCATCACCCTCAAGACCGCTTTTTTGATATTAAATTATATAATAAAATATGCGCTCCTCTTTTAACACCTTCGCCTTCTTAGCTCAGTTGGGAGAGCGTTAGACTGAAGATCTAAAGGTCCTGTGTTCAATCCACAGAGGGGGCAATCAAATTATAATATTTTGTTATATGGAGATTTTTTCGTCAGCCGGAATACTAAAACGTGCGTTTAGTAAATTGAATATAATTTTAAAAAAATTTAAGGTCTTGGATTAAATTTAGTGATTAATGAAATCGATAATCCTAAAGAGTAAAAGGTTTACATAAATATATACAAATTAAAAAAAATAATTTCCATTTTTTTTTAACAGAATTCAAAAATTATTTTTGCCAATCAAATTTCCAAACTAATTGATACATTTTTTTTCATGTTGGCATACTATAGAGCTGTCGAAAAAACCTCTTGGCAAACGAAAAAGGGTTTCATAATTGGCAAAAAGAGTTTTTACTATTTTGCGTAACGGGAATATCGAGAAATCTTATTAAAACGTAAAACTATGTAAATACTAAAAAAAGTCTGTCAAAATGTTAATAAAAGATTTTAATGAAATTCTTTTTTCTCTAATTGTTAATACATTGGTTTTTATTTGATTGAAATAAAATATGGAATTGTATAGTTTTTTAATGAACTTTAATTTATATTTTGATCTTACCTATATTACCTATATTTTTACATGAAATTTTTAATATGTATTTTTTACTAATAAACTTTAATCCCATATTTTTATCTTTAGTTTTACTAGTACTTGTAATAATACCAAAATCCAAAAGTTTTTTATTAAATACAACTTTTTTTCAAATATTAATTTTAATAATAACTGTATTAAATGTTTCTTTAAACTTAAAAATAAAATATTATTAACAACAATTAAATTTATATAATTAAAAAATAAAACATGTTTAATTATATATTACTAATTTTTAAAGCTGTACAATCAGAAAAAAAATAACTAACTTGAATTTAAAAGTATTATAAAAAATAATAACAATAAGAACAAAAACTATAATAAATTTTGCAATTTTAAAAAATAGTAAAAAATAAGAATTTAACAAGTTTAATATTAATCTTAATATTTAAAAAGACTTCAAATTTTTTTTAATAATTAATATAACTTTTTTAAATACTATTAAAACTAACTTTTAAACCAATTTTTAAGTTAAATAATAATATAATATGAATAAAAAATAATACATATTAAAACATAACTTATTTTATTTTTAAAACTAGTAATAATTAATTAAATTTATTTTTATTAAACAATATAATTAAATATTGATACAAAACAAATTCGACAAATATGTTGTTATTATTATCATTTAAAACAAAAATAATTGTTATTTATAATCAAAATAAAATTAAATATTATAATTAATACTAGTAATATAATATTGTTAAAAAATTTAACTATATATAAATAAAATCAAGTTTTAAAAATAGTAATGCTTTAAAAAACACCAAATAAAACTATTTTTTAATATTTAAAAAAGATTTAGTACAGAAAAAGATTGCTTTTTAACTATTTTGACTTTTTTGATTATTTAAACAACAATAATAAAAAAGTTTAAAAAATAATAACTTTATTACTGATTTATTAATTATTTTAAAATTTTTTATAGTTATAAAAATAATATTAAAACTAATTTTAATTTGTTTTTTTAAAAAACTTTTAACTAAAAACAGTTAAAAGCTGTTTTGTTTTAAAAAAAACTTTTTAAGTAATATTACTTTTAAAAATTATAAAAAAAAATATTTGTTTCTTTTTTTTAATGTTTGTTTTAATTATTATTATTATTAAAACAAAAAAAATCTAAAACTTTTTTTTTATACATTCCAAAAATTTTTTAAAAAGCCTAATTTTGAAAAAAAAGTTTTTTATTTTTATTTTTTATTATTATATTTATAATTTTTCAAAAAATAAATTTTTTGGTAATAGAATTAACAGTTATTTTTAGCAATAATATGTTTAAAAAAAAGGTAACCAATAAATTTTTTTATAATTTGGCTAGTAGTATTTTTTCTTAAAAAAAAAATTTTAATTGACAATATTAAACATTCAAATAATAATAATAATAAATATTTTAACCAGATTTTTAAATAATTTTAATATATTTTTTAATATAAAAAATAATAAAAATATCAATATTTTCTTAATTAATAATAACTACAAATCTAATAAAAATAATAAAAAATTAATATTAAAATTTTTTAATATTAAATAATTTAATAACTTTTAATACTTAGAATTTTATTTTTTTAACATAATAATAAGTTTATTTTAATATTTATTATTTTTTTAATAAATTATATTTATGTTTTAATTTTGTATTTTTTACTAAATTTTTAATATTATAATCTTAGTATTTATTTTTTTTAAATAATTAGTATAACAATAAACAAACAATAAAAAAATAAAAATAAAAAAAATAAAAATAAAAAATAAAAGTTAGTATTTTATTAATAATTATAATTAAAAGCTATTAATTTAAAGTATTAGTTTTTATAATTATGTTTTTAGTATTTAATGCTTTTAATAAATATTTTAAATAAGATAAATATTAATAATAGTGTATATAATTTATGAAAATTTTCTTTAATAAAACAATAATTTTTATTAAAAATATTAAATAGTTGATTTTTAGATATATTTTTATATTATTAAATAAAATATTAGACTGTTTTTTTTCTTTTATTATTATTATTATATACATATATTTTTAATAATACAAAATGGTTTGGCATTTTTAGTTATTTTTTAGTTATTTTTTAATTATTTTTTAATTATTTTTGATATTTTTGGCATTTCTGAAATTTTTGGCATTTTTTTTGGATTTCTATTATTATATTATCTTCTTAATTCTAATGTTTAATTGGCTAATTTATTATATAATAATAATAATAATAATTTTCCTTATTTTCTATATAAATAACAACATATAAAAAGTGTATAAATTATATTTAATTTAAAATACTTTAATATTGTATTATATTAAATAATAATTAAGCTATATTTTATTAAAGCATAATAATAAAAATATATATTTTCATTAATAAATACAATATATATATATATATAATATAAGATTAATTTTTTAAGTAAATCAATTTAAATAAAAATTACTTAAAAATAATTTTATTTTTTATAATTTAAATAATTTTTAATAATTATTTATTAATAAACTATATAATTAAAAGTATTATATAATTTATATTACTGTATAATTTTGATTTATTTAAAACTTTTTAGCTATAAATCAATACATTGTTAAAGTTTAATAGAATATTTGAATTAATTTCTTAATTCACTAAAGTTTATTTTTGTCTATTTTGATTATGGCGTACCGCCACGAAACTTACCCAACCACTCCTTTCGTCGATCCAACTCCCTTACCTGACCACATACCACACATTGACGAAGTCGGCTTCTCTTCGGCCCCCCTAAAGTCTGTCGCCTTTTTCATAGGCGCATTTTGCAAAGAATATAATGAGGACTTCATGTTATGTAAAAATGAGAACAATGACCCGACCCACTGTTTAAAGGAGGGTAGAAAGGTTACTAGATGCGCTATTGACTTGTGAGTAGTGTTTTTAGGGCAAAGAAAATTTGTATCAAACTCTTGCGACTTCCTGCGACGAACTGCATTTTATATTCCTGGTTTCTCAAGTTTTACGTTCGCCTATAACACTGCCTCGCGCTCTCTACTGCCTCTTTCACTTTTATAAGTTCGAGATTTCTCTTTTAGCTCATTCTCAATCGCCTCTCTTTACACAAATCAATCCCAATTTTAGAATCCGGCGGATACGTGAAAATTGTGATAAAGAGTTGGATGCGCACTGGATTTGTCTCGACCGAAATAATCAAGAATACTTTCATTGTAGACCGGAAGAAAAGCCATTAAATGCCTGCGTGTTGAATGCATTGGTAAAAAAACGGATATTGGGAGTGGAATTGCAATTTAGGTTATGTGTGTTTACTTTATCAAGTCAGTAAACAAGTTCTTCCATTCCCGATAGAATCTCGAAAAAACAATTCCTGGTACACCGAAAGGTCAAGAACCTATTCACCTCAAAAAGAACCCAATCTTTAAACCACGGATTTATGGATGACTGTCAAGATACCAACCCATTTAGAAACCTCAGGCAAGCCAGATTTGGTTTGATTTATGCGCCAATTTTCTTTTATTACTTGAGCTATCAACCGAAATCAGTGCGGTTGGGCCAAAAAATGTAATTTAAAGCTCGAATTTAATAGCTTGAAGAATTTGTTAGGTTTCATTGTAAATATGGGCGCCCATTTAAAGAACAAGAATTTATCAATAAATTTCTCATCAATTTAATGTTTGGATGCATAAGTATATATTTATCAATTTCTCCATTTCGTTATCACTGATATCTCGAAGTTCTTTTAATGTAATTTAATTTTGTGGGACTTACTCCTTTTTCTTGCTTTAGATTTTCAGAAATTTTTGTTTGAGCTGTTCTCTCTTTCATTTTTATTTTGGAAATAACAAGCATCAACTTTTTTTTTGCTTTTTATTATCAATAATTGTAAAATACTTTGAAATTCAAATTATAAATTTGCTACTTAGGATAGATCAAGTATAACTTATGTAAAAGTCCAAAAATGATAACAGAATTAAAAGTATTGCATAAGTTTCAACGGCTATATTCTCAAGTGTTGAGCTTATCTTTCGCACCAGAGAGCTTTCAATGTCTATTTTTATTATATTTTAGGGTGACCGCTGCAGAAAAAGCAATACATCATCAATGAAATTATTATATAACTATCTTACACTAATTTTAAAGTTCTATATGTTCCAGATTTTATTTTTTCTACATTCAAATCCCAACATCGGCATTAAAAGAAAGGTTTGGATGATACTCCACCTGGATAAGAGACTCCAAAGCCTTGTTGCGAGATCCTAAACAACCGAGTAATTAAATTTAGTTAAGACTTAAATACATGACTTTTGCTGAAATAATAAGACTCACCCTTGGGCGCCTTGTGTTATTAGTAATTGAGTTCCGAGACCATGACCAATGATTGGAGAGTCTATCATTTTACAATGAAAACGGATTAATGACTATTATTTTTGTTCAAATTTATC